CAAAATAACGGAGAGGAGAGGGAGGGAAACAGAAGACAGAGAAAGGGGGAGAAAGAGAGAAGAAGAGAGAAAGGGAAGGAAGAGAGGAAAGAGCTAAAATGCTAAGTGATTTCTTAGAATACTGATTCTACATACACTAGGTGGGCACACTACCACTTGAGCCACTCCACCAATCCTAGATTCTACTTAAAGTAAAAATTGGTATATTGACCTACCAGTATTCAGAAGCTTAGGTTTATGGGAAAATTTGATCCATGAATTTTGATCCAAGAATTAAAATTATATCATTAGCAGCCTAGTTTCAAAAAATTCTTCATGGAATGGTTCCTTTCTCAATGTTCAGAATTGTGAAAAATGCAATGACTTTCAGTTAATTAAAAACTAAATATTGAACTAAAAAGTTGGTACCTGCTGTAGCAAAACCATTGTCAGTTTTTCATTTTGAACACAATTAGCCTAAGCAATAATCTACCTCAAATTATTCAAACAACACTTTAGATAGTATATTTAATTTGAACTTTTGGTTGATTTCTTTTTTAAGAATGTCTCACAATTATTTAAAATATTTTCCTGAAAATAGATCTCTTTAAAATATTTTTATTTAGATGATTTTATCCGTATCATTTAGGGAGAAACTTTTACTCAAAATGTGGAGGTCATAACAATTGGATTTTTCTCTTACCATTTGAATAGCTGTGGGGAAAAAAAAGAATAATGTATCAAAGCAAGTTTTTTAAATTCACATACCATTCATCAAAATATTTTGCATATAATGCTTTTCCTGTTTCCAAATAATCATCAGAAAATACCTCTAGTCTTTCAATTTTACCTACTTGGTTTTTTAAAATTCAGAAGGTTTTACTGTATAAATATAACCTAGTATGCCGAGGTTATTTTTGCTCATTTATGTCAGTTATATATTTGGAGTCCACTTAGAAATTTCAGGTTTGGTTTTTAAACTTTCTAATTAAAATCTGCATTCAAAAATTTTCATAAAATTTAAAAAATATTTTGCTATCTAAAGTGTTTCTGGTTTTCACTTAGTTTTTTTCAAAGGTACTATTTTTAATTCTTTTGAATGTAGATGACTTCCTAGAAATGAATCTAATTTTTAAAAGCACATTTTAATAATTGCTTATATTAAATAGAAATATTTATTTATATGATCACTAGATGATTTATATTTTAAACCATGAGTAATTCTTTTCATGCTGATATGTTGATTGTGAGGAACACACTTTCCTGTGAATATAGCTCCAGTTTCCTTTATTTCAGTCTGGGTAATGGTAAAGAAGGAAATATGAGTGAGAGATTTAAGTACTGAGTTTATAAGCAGTTAATCATTTTTTTTCCACACCCTTGCATTGAAATAATGAGAGCACAGATATTGGAGACCCCAGCTGGCCACTTGTTTCTGTTGACTTAAGTACAAACAGTGGTGGAAGTGTTTAGCCCTTTGGGAAATTTTGTGATTGAATAGGAATGTGAGAGTTATTTTGATAAGAAAAAATAGCAATGAGGCCAAAACTATGATCATCCTTGAGCTCTGAAGCAGACCAAAGATGAAGGGCTGAATTGTTTGCTCTTCCACATGAACAAAGATAAATTCACCTAGGAAAATAAATTAAGTATGTTGGTCAATTTGCAACAAAATGGTTAAAGAATTGAACTGTTTATTTTAGAACTTGGCCTAAGTAGGTGTGGGAAAATAGTTCAGCATCTCCATTTCTGGCCCAATTTTCACTACAGATTTGGAAACGGAGCTGAAAATTAATGCAGAAACATGCTTAACAATACCTCACCAAATGTTGTAAATCCAAAATGAAAATTCATGCTACATGAGGAAGTAAATTAAAGCCTTTTCCTAGGAGTACTTACTAAATCTGAAGCTACAACTTTCTGAGCATCCTTAAGTATAATCAGTACTGTTAAAAATCAAGGTCTCCTTGATCTGAGATGCTGTTTTCTCTGCAGTTTTTCATTCTTAGGATATGATGTTCTTCTAACTGTTGGAGGGAGGATTTAATTTATCCACACGTCTGCTCTATGAACTTATCAGTAAACAAAGGCCTGCTTGGCCACATTGTTTTCTGTTTATTTTGACTTTGTAAAATGGATCATTTTCTAGAATTAGTTTGGGATATTCATTAGGTATTGTCATCTTAGCTAATCAAAAAGATGATTTTTTATAGTTTCTCAAGTTTTAGGAATTTCAATTAAGCAAATTTAGGATGACTTATTTTAGAGAAGCATTTACATGAAAAGCTCACAAAGAGCAAGCTATTTGCTTTGCTTGGTGTAGTTGGTTGGGACGAGGCATGACCATACTGTCTTCATGTTAGATATTTCTCTCTCTCTCTCTTTCTCTCTTTCTCTCTCTCTCTCTCTCTCTCTCTCTCTCTCTCTCTCTCTCTCTCTCTCTCTCTCTATATATATATATATATATATATATATATAATTTGAAATGGGTCTTAGAGCCCAGACTGGCCTGGAATTCCCTATGTAGCCAAACTCAGACTGGCCTTGAACTCAAGGTCTTCCTACATGTGCCTCCAAAGTACTGGAATTACAGGCATGCACCATGCACCACCCACAGGAGGCTTAACTCTATAATTTTCGGTCACAACAAATCCAGGACACTTGTACTTTGCTGTGTTTGGTGCCTAAGCATTCCTACAGTAAGCACACAACTGTTATTCTGTGAAAGTCTTCCCCATTTGGTCTTGTCTCCTGCTGAGGATTTGGGAAAATTGGATTTCTTCCTGATTGAAAGATGCTGTAAAGCACTGACATCAAGAGGGGTATGGTAGCATATGCCTGCAATTCCAGCACTTGCGAGGCAGAAGTAGGAGGATTAAGAGTTCAAGTCCAGCTTGGGCTACATAGTGAGACCCTGTCTCAGAACGAAACAAACAACAAAAGGCACTAAGCTCAAAGTAAAAGCTTCGCCCTTCCCCCTTCCATGGTACTGGGGCTTGAACTCAGGGCCTACACCTTGAGCTACTCCACCAGCCGTTTTTTGTGAAGGGATTTTTCAGGATAGGGTCTTGTGGAACTATTTGCCCTGGCTGGCTTAGAACCATGATCCTCCTGATCTCTGCCTCTTGAGTAGCTAGGATTATAGGCATGAGGCACCAGCACCCAGCAAGTAGAAGCTTCTTACAGATCTGAATAATAACCTTCTCTGGATAGCATGTCTGTGCCAGACTTTTTAGTTCATTTTGTATGCTGTTTTACTTACCTTTCTTGCTTTTAGCTGTCAGATTAATAACTTGACTTTGAGATTAATGATTGCTGCTCTGACATATTATCAATAGAAATTAGCATCCTGAGGGCTAAGACTGGAGCCCAAGTGGTAGAACACCTGCCCAGCAAGCTTGAGGTGCTGGGTTAAATCCCTAGTAAGGAAGGAAGGAAAAAAGAAAGAAGGGAGGGAGGGAGGATGGATATTCACCATGTTATATGTCTTCTCAAAACTTTTAAGGGGGGGTTTGTTTTGGCTGTTAACTACTGGTTATAGCTACTTAGCATAGCAAACAAACATTTTGTTTGAGACATTCAAAGCAATAGTGAACTATTATTGATTGAGGATATATAGCAAACGAAAATGTTTGTGAAGTTACATAACAAAAAAGAGAAAGATAAGAGAAATCCCAAATTCTACAAGAATGTGAAAGTACAATTTCTTTAGCATTGCTTTAGCTTGGTGATGATAATTATACCTACCACTTAAAACATGTTTGCTATATTCACAATTATTTTGTTATTTAATCTTAACTCTAGGAGATAAATATCATTATAAAAACTATTTTGCAAAGAAGATAGTGGATGTTGAGGAGATAAATTACTTGTCTAAAATCACATGACTGGTATCTGAATTCCTTAACTTAGTATATCATTCTGCTCACCAGACCAAGCTTAATTAAGTGTATAGAACTAATGTTTTTTAAAAAACCACAAACATCTTTTAAACAAATAACCATTTTATATTTGATTTGTTCTCAGAGTATTAGTTTAGGTTCCCAAATTTTGTTTGCAGGTTTTAAATGGACGGCAAGTTTTGGGTTTTAAAAAACCTAAGTGCTTGGTACCAAATCCCAAAAGAACTGAAAAGACCAGTGACTAATCACTGTCTTTCACACTATCTTTTCCTGCATTTGAAACTGAAACTATTAAACTCCAGTTTAACTTCAAATAAAAAAATGTTTATTTTATTCTGGCATACTGAAAGTTAATGAAACAACCAACAGAGACCAACAAATCTTTCTCAGCAATTTTGCTAGCAGTGAATTTAGAACCTTATACATATGTAGACTTCAGTATATGTTTATTAAATTGAATAAGGTTATGTTTTATTCCCCTTGCTTTTAGTCAAATAAAACATTTTGCAAAGCCTGTTGTCAAATATACTAAATTTTAACATCTCCATTCCTTACAGTTGGGGGGAGGGGTTCAAATGATATATTTGATACATTGTTAGAATGTTTGTAAATGCCACAGTGTACCCCACCCAGCACAACAATAAAAAAAATATGTAAACTATGATGAATTCTCATCACTTTTCTAGATTCGTTAATAAATACTATCAGTGATACACAATTTTTTTTCATAAAGAGAGATCTAGATAGTAAATACTTTAGGATTTGTGCACTACAACACCTCTGGTAATTACACTACCTGAAAAGCAGTCAAAGACAGTCAATAGTGGATGTGGCTGAGATCTGCTACAACTTCATTCTGCAGGACAGCTGGATTTGGCCCTGACTGTAGCTTCATATTCTCACTCTGTAAGGAAGTAATCATTGCTGTGTCTTAACTCATTCAGGATCTAGTTACTTAGATACTTTTAGAGAAAACTAGAATTCATGCATATACATTATATAAACCATTTAATTAGTATATATTTATAATGCTTCACTTTATTTATGTACTAGCATTTCTATGATTATTATCAACATTACTTTCGCTTAAATTACAATTTTGTTTTTTTCTCACTTCAGGGAGATTCTATACAAGCAGGTGATGATTCACCATTCTCAGATTCTGTTACCTTGGAACAAACTACTAATAACATTGGTGGATCCAGTGGACGTGTTAGTCTCTGGATGCAGTGGGTGCTTCCTAAAATTACTATAAAACTTTTTGCTCCAGATCCTGAAAACAAAGGCACAGGTACAGGAGTACTTTTTGTAATGAAAAGATCAACAATTAAGCACTGCTTTTAGAGGAACTATTAAACTTAATTTTGTTTATTGTCCTTTATAATTTAATAAGCATCATTATATCCCATTCAAGTGATTTTTCTTTTAATACTAGCATATTAATGTGTATTAATTCTCTTTGACTTTATAATACCTAAATTGTATTTGTTGATGTTAAAGTTCATCCCAAGGGTCATGAGAGAATTTCCCCGTGGGTCATTTTGATGTGTTGTATCTTTGTGACTAATAGTATTGAAAACATCCTTCACTATTATCAAATTTAGCACTTCAAACATTAACTGGATGACTTACTTTAGTTGTAAGGCCTATATTGATAATAATCTTGATTATGTTTGTAGAACTTATGTAGTCTCATGCCTCTGTAGATGTCCAGGATGTAAATGTCAATGTGAAATGTAAACTAGGAAGTTTTGATAATGATTATGAGGGATTATATTGATACTTGTTTCTTTTGCAGAGGTTTGTATGGTCAGTGAACTAGAAGATCTCAGTGCTTCCATAGATGTGCAGGATGTGTACATGAAAGTGAAATGTAAAATAGAGAGTTTCAATATTGATCACTATAGAAGCAGGTAAATAATGAACATAGGAAAAGCTTTATTTTCTTAAAAGAAAGTAACTAAGAATTTTTCTATTTTACTTTGGCTGTTTTTTTAAATTGCTATACTTATTCTCAAAGAGGGTTCTTAAAAATGAATTGGCTCCCTATCACTCACTCATATATGGTTTATTAAAAGAGCATGTTTTATAAGGTGATATATCTATTCATATTAAATGAAATAAGCTAATTATCTGACAACTTATTTCATGTATTATATATTTTTTAAGATGCCTAGAACACAGTTGACAGCTCTGGATTTTGCTGTTTTCCTACCTACTCCCTATATAATCCACTCTGAGATAGAGCAACTGCTCATGTCCCTTGACATTTGGAAGACACTTCTTTTATCACAGATCATTCATATGTATATGATGAGTATTCCTATAAGCACACTGTCCCTTCCCTAATAAAGTTACTTAAAAAATAATAGTATATGTAAATACGATTTGTTTGCAGTAATAATGATAGTAAAGAAGTTAAATTTTAGATATTTTTCACATAAAGCAATTTTGCCTTTAATGTTACCCAAATAAAAGTACAAATCCTTTCTTTTTTTTTTTTTTTACTTTATAACATAACTGGTGTTTTATTTTTTGAATTGAAATATAATTCACATAGCATAAAACTCACAAATTTTTAAAAAAATATTCTTAAAATAGCGTATTTTCAATGTCATAGTATTTTGGTTTAGAAATAACCTTAAAATCCATTTCTTTATGGATTTATAATATTTATTCATTCATCAATTTTATTATGTGTCTGCAGAAACCCATTTGTGTTTCTGTACATATATTGATACATTATATGCTTTAAAAGGTCTTTTTTAGATAGGTTTCTAGTTCCACATCGAAGTCACTTAAATTTTTATCTATCATCACATATGTCATATTGCTTATGTCAATAATTATCAAATCTGTAACAGCTAAAATATTATATCATAATTTTGAAATATAAAATATTTTCTGAATATGTATTAGAACCCATTATAATATTATCTTACTAATATATGATAATTATTTTGTCATAGTAACACTGAAGAATTAATTTGCTTTTGTTTATCACTTTAATTTCTTTCCAGTGATGCATATCTATATCAAAATTATCTTTTCAACTGGTATATCTATATAATATTAGAACTGAATTGATTTCCTGATAAGAATATTATATATTGCAGTTTATATATAACTTTGCTCTTATATTTATGTATTTTTAAATATTTAGATAGTTTATTCATTTAATTCAAAGGTTTATTGAATGTGCATTATGTGCCAGGGTATATGGTAAGCACTGTGAATATAATGGTTAACAAAAATAGACATAAAGTTTACCTTTATGGACCTTTTATTCTTGTGGATGAGATAGAAATTAATTTTTAAAAAAACAAGTAAATGTATAATTTGCTTTTAGGATAAATGCTTGCATGCAGAACTATCAGGGTATGGTGCTAGTGTAAGTAGTTTCTATTGATTGCGTTCTTACATCCATGTTTTAGTTCAGTGTCATGTTGTTTACTTTAGAACTAATGAAATAGTTATATATGCTCAATTTTTTAACTCAGAAAAATTAAAAAGAACAGATAAGGTGAACTTATGTTTTCCAGGCCAGGGGAAGGTTGGCAGTCAGGACATTTTGAAGGAGTATTTCTACAGTGCAAAGAAAAATCTGTGGTGAGACTCAGTAATTATGATTTTTGAAAATACATTTTAAGTTGTTTATCTTTGTTCTTTCTTGCAGTAGGACTAATAGTTACAAAAAACAGAGCTTACAGTGTAAATTATTTTTGACTTCTTTCTCCAAAATTGTATTTTAAACTTAAAACTACTTATTCTTTTAATCTGCTCATGCTTTGTAACCATCTTCTTTTATAGCAATTAAGTAAATGTATCAAAATCACAAAGGTAGGATTACTTTCATTATTAAAGTATATTTTTAAAGTAAGTGATATTGATGTTTTGGAAGATTTTCCCCTTATAAGTGAATTCATGCCGAATTATCCTTTAGCATAAACTAAAAGTAGTAATTGTGTACTCAAAGCAGTTATTTTTTAGTGACTTCCATTAACAATGCTTTTCCAGAAGATGGTCCAGACCGAGCCCATACCTAGTAGTGGCTCAGACCTAAACCTGTACAAACTTGAGCAGAATTAAAATCTATCCAATTTTTTTTTTGCTTATGGCTTTTATTGCATTTTTGTCTTTTCACCTTCTTTGCTCCTGTCCATCACCTCAAGCCTTGGGGAAGAGAGTTGGTCTTTGGGGCAATGTGGAGGTGTCTTCCTTTCCTGTACTGACAAGCTGAACAGACGCACCTTGTTGGTTCGACCCGTCAGCAAGCAGGACCCTTTCAGTAATTGCTCTGGCGTCTTTCCTTCTGTAAGAATTCATTTTAAAATTATGCTACAGAACTCTCCTTAACAGGAACTCAGAGAAGGAATGGAACTACTATAGAGTCAACTCTTGATATTCCTTTGTCTTCATATTGTTCACTTTGTAAATGAACTGTAATATATTTTTACACCATAAATTGGTTTTCCATTATACTCTGTTTCTGAGTCACTTGCACATTCTGTTTTCATTCTGAGTTCGTAAACACACACCAATTTCACCATGGCTGTTAGAAAGTCAAAGTTAGATGTGAAATATAATGCTTTTTAGATCATGCATGTATCAAATGATCAAGAGTTGACAAGTATTGTCATTGTCTTTTTGATTCTTGCAGAGATTTTTTATCCTATTATGCCATTGTTATCTTTTTGCATCTAATTCAGAATACCTTATTTGGTGCCCTCTGGACAAATGTATACTTCATTATGTAGAAGATGAACCCTATACTGTATACCAGTGACTTTTAGAAGTTTAAAGCTTGCATTTTTTGATGGTAAAACACATGTAGATACATTCTTAAACTTTTTTTTCTTGCCACACTATGGTTTGAACTCAGGGCCTTATACCTGCTAGGCAACTCCATCACTTGAACATGTCCCCAGCCTGTTTTCTGGTTCAGTCATTTTTCAGATAGGGTCTTGTGTTCTTTTGTTTTTATTTTTTTAGTTTTTTCCCCTCCCCCACCCCCAGACTCTAATCCTTCTGTTGGTGCCTCCTGCATAGCTGGAATCACAGGCATGTACCACTAGTGCCCAGCTTTTTGGTTGAGCTGGAGTCTCCCTAACTTTTTGCCTGGGTTGATTGGGAACCATGATTTTCTTGATCTCTACCTCTGGAGTAGTTGGGACTACAGGTACATGCCATGGCATCTGGCTTTAAACTTTCTTTTAAGTGATTTTTAAGTGAATAAAATGCATAAAATTTTTGCTATTCCTTTAAGAATTTATTAAATTACTGAAAATATTACTATTTTTTCCACCATGTGCAAAAGTTATTTTGTTTTTGTAGCTCAAAAGACATTTAAGATATATATTTTTAGCTTTATCAAAATATTTTAATTGATTGTCTGCCTATATTTAGTGACTAATACTGTGTTTACATAATAGCAAATGCTATTTTCTAATTTCATTTTGAACTTCTTGCAGTCCATCTGGAGTACTAGAAAAATATGTCTTTGAAATGTGACTTTAGTGTCAGTAGAAGTTCTGTGTAGATTTATACTTCTCTCTTTGGAGATGTCATTAGTAGATATCTGTGAGAAACAATCTTAAAAATTTTAAATGTATTTATGAAAAAACCCAAAATTTATTGTTGATACCTTTAAAATTACCATTTTTGTAAGTTTTTAAAACTTAGGTACTTTTTAACTATACTTTATCAGTGTTTTCATTTAAATAAAATATCACTGTATAAAAAGTAATAATTTATATTACATTATCCACTTAAATAACAGAAGTTAGTGATACAGCAGTTTAAAAAAAATGGAACCCTTTCTGTCACGTAGCCTATCTTTCAAGAATGCTTAGGTCCAACATGCTTAAAATATTTTTAAGTCATAACATTTATTTATTGAAGTACCACTTAGAGTACTCAAATGTTGCTATTAATAAAAGTTTTATTATGGATTGAGTTATTTAGATTAATGATTACTACTACCCGTGTCCTCAAAGAACAGTTTAGTCACCTGGAACAGACAGCAATTTTGTAACTACACGACAACCATCCTTTGCTTGTTTCCTGCTGGCCAGCCACACACTAACCTCAATGTTAGCACTTTTTCTTCTTTACTCTGCTTCCTTTAGATTCAAGTGTAGAAAGCAAAAGAAAAGGAAATGAGAATAAAGGAGCAGCAAGAAAGTTGGGGACAATGAAAACATTCTGAGGGCAAACCATTATGGGAAAAATGATTATATTTTACAGCTTCTTAATGTTTATATTTCAATGGTTAATTTCCAATGATAAAATAATTAACTTCAAAAAGATGCAATGTTTACAATGGCAATTTTTTCTCACTCTCATTCATTGTAAAGTCTAGACCACAAGAAAAATTAGCAGTACAAGTAGCTAAATTTCATATTCTTTTCCTCATACCCTATCATTTATAGTCATCAATGTGAGAGAGAATGAATGTGGAAGGAAAGGAGATTTAGGAGTGATGGGATAGCATAGGTCAGAAATATCATGCCTTTGTTCTTTCTCACTTTTTTTTTCCTGTTTTACTGAATATATTGCACTCTTTTTCTTCTTTCGTAGTTCATTTACTCTCTTAACATCACTCCTTGAACCCTAATAACTAAAAAACTTTTTCAGGTATTGGGAAGAGGGTTTGCAAATGGGAAATACTATTTCTAGTCTAATTTTATTTGAGTAATTTGCAAAATAGAATTCTATTTACCACTTACTGGTTCAGAAATTTTTTTCAAGAAGTTTCCTAACTCTCAGGTCAGTCATTCTAATAGAACCATTTCCCTATTTGCTGAATTGGTCAGTCAGATGTTTATTAAGAATAATGAAAGAAGGCATGGTGGCACACACTTGTAGTGCCAGCTATTGGAGAGGCAGAGGCAGGAGGATTACAAGATAGAGGCTAGCCCAGGCCATGTTAGGAAGATATGTCTCATAAACAAAATACAAACAAAAGGGCTAGAAGTGTGACTCAAGAGACAAAGCACTTGCCTAGCATGTGCTAACCCCTGGGTTCCATTTCCAGTACCACAATGGGGGAAAAAATGTACAGGATGAGTAAGAAAAAAACCTAAAAATACTAACATAGTTTTTTTCTTTCCTTTTGTTAATAAAATGTGTATTATGATTTCCTTTTTCTGGAACAGACAACTACGAAACTTCTAGATGGCACTCATCAACAGCACGGATTTCTCTCTCTGACATACACAAAAGCTGTAACAAAAAACGTCCGCCACAAGTTAACATCAAGAAATGAGAGAAGAAGTTTCCATAAATTGTCTGAAGGTTTAACAGATGGTTCCCCTCATTTTCTTCATGAAATTCTTCTTTCAGCACAAGCCTTTGATATTGTCCTTTGTTTTCCTTTACTTAATGCCATTGCTAGTATATTTCAAGCAAAACTGCCAAGGACCCAGAAAGAGAAAAGAAAATCTCCTGGTCAGCCCATGAGGACCCACACACTGACGTCACGCAATTTACCTTTGATTTATATAAACACAAGTGTGATAAGAATTTTTGTTCCAAAAACAGAAGAAATACAGCCATCTGTTGGAGGTATTTTGGGGGGGAATGAGGGGTTGACTTTAATTTTCTTCTACATATCTTAGTGTTCTGGGGGCTTTTTTGTGTGTAAATATGCAAGCTGTGATATTTTAGAAAGAATAACATATTCATTCTGTAAATAAATCTGTGCAAATTATATCCCAATATCAGACTCCATTAATTAGACATGAAATTAGAAGTGAATTTTCTGAGATTTTTTTCCTCCAGCACGTTTGCCAGTAAGCTTATACTTTTTGTCATTTGTATTATAAAATTCCAGTGCTGAATTCTATATAGCTAAGATAACTAAAATTTTACTTAAAAATAAAATGGTATTGTAATAATGAAATATATACAAATTTATGATGAATATCCACCTGATGACTGAGGATGGGAAAAAATTACTCAACAGATCAAGGTCCCTATGGCTTCTTCCAGGTTTCCCAGTGCCTTATGAAATTATTCTATGTCTTGACCTGCATTGATAATTCTACTGCCTCTAGCCAGAAGACTGCTTTAAGGAATTTAGTTTACCCTATGCTATTTAAAAAAATGGGGAACTTTAAAGGTTTTGAGAGACAGTGATTTAATCATATGGATCTTGACCTTATACAGACTTCAGTTCAAATCCCAACCTCACCGGTTATGATTATGAAATCTGGAGCAACTTAATCTAAAATCCTCGTGTAATAATAGTACTTAATAGGTAATAGTAGTACTTACCTGATAGCTGGTTGTATTAATAGCTTAGAAATGATGACAAAACGAGACTGTGCACAGTGACATTCCCATCATTCAATCCCATGGTAAGGTCTCTCTCTGTTTTGAGTAGTGGTTGTGATAGAATTTTTAACTGTGTCATTCCAAAGTTCAGGTGCCTACCTATTCCCAAAGGTTACCTTGAAGAAGAGATGAAGGATGTTGTTATAGACATCCTTGGGAAATGTAATCTCTCATATTTTTCTACTGTTTAGCCATTTGCTATTGCGAACTTATTTTGAAATAAACAACTTACAGGTGATACTTTTTGTGAGTTAGGTCTGTATATCTTCTGAGTAAATTCCTAGAAAAAGAATTGTTAAATCAAAGGATACGTACCTTTAAATACTAAGAGATGTCAATTTACTTTCTTAACTGGCTGCACCAGTTCATACTGTGTCCTTACTCTCCCTCTAACAGAAGTTTATCAGACTATTTGCCTTTTATCTGTCTGGGTAAAGAAAAGTACACTACTTTTTAAGGAGTTGCTTACCTTTTACTTATTAATTAGTTTATAAACCCTCTTTGTATATTAAGACTTTTGTCTGGCATATGTAATGCACAACTCTTTACATTTTTGGTTTTTGTCCTGTATGTTTGTATGCATACATATATACTTGTATAGTTACACTTTTGCCTATATCTTTCTGAAGTGCAGGAAATTTCCATATGTCCATCTTGAAAATAAAAATATAAAAATACATGCCAAAAATTCAAAGATTTTAGTACATTATATTGTTACATTTTTTTGTCACAATCTCTTTCCATTGCTACTATTAATTCAAATTATAATTCACTCATGAAATTTCTTCCATTAAAGTAAAATTCATATGATATGAAATTTACCTTTTAAAGTATATGCCATAGATGGAAAATTGAATATTTCTATTTAAAATATGTTAAATGCAATAATGTAACTAAGGGAATCATGATAGAAGCTTCAGTTCCATTAGAATAAATACCTACTTAAATGATTCTCATAAGATAAGTCAAGAGCAATCTAAGTTTATAGCGTTCTGTGTCTGTTATAAAGCAATCTTTGTCAGAGATGATTCACAAACTAAATTTTCCCTTTATTACGCTTACTGTTCAGTAGGTTGGTTACACATTTATTGAATCTTCTTTCTATCCTCAGCTGCCAACATGGCAGTAAGTAAGTAAAACCTCTTTTTGGTACCTTTGTATAGGGCTATCATAATAGTTGTGGCTTTATAAAAGTATAACATTTTCAGTGGTAATTTCAAATGCTCTTGAGACTAGATATTTCACTATGTTGAGTTTGTAATGAAAATTTTAATGGAAAGTTGATGTCTCACAGTTTTATTTCATGTTTTGCTTAAAAACTTATTCATAAGCAACAGCAGAGTCTTACATTATCTTACAATTACATGAAAGCTCTGTTTTTTATTTAAACTTTAGGTTATTGGCACAAGGTTATGATTTCTGCATTGTTCATAACCTTTTCATTTGCTGTACATATATAAACATCCATGCATCTGCACATACATGTTTATGTACTTTTTTGCCTCCCAAAAGATAGTCTTTCTGACTTAAAATTCATGTTATATTAATATAAATTTTTAATCATGTCTAAAATTTAGTTAAAGATAAAGAATATATAACATTCTAAAATTTTATTTCAAGAAATACTGAAATTGCTTTTCAACCTGAATATTTTTGCACTGTATGCAATTATTACCAAGATTATAAATCTACAGATGTTTCACTTCCAGCTTAACCTTTTTATTTCAAAATAAAGAACTATTTTTCAGATCTAGTATGAGTCTTCTAGAGTGAGTAGTTCTTATTGAGACTCAGTTTTGAAAAATACAATTAAACAAAGCAGGTATTCATTTTCATGTTGAGAATGCTTTAAGATGGAGCATTTCTTCTTACGGCCCAATTATTAAATACAAGTGAAATACACCCAGAAAGGGAAGCTTGTTTTTGTCTGTCTATAAAGTAACTGAAGAAATGTCTCAAGGCACTTTCTTGTATAATTATTTTTATTATTTTTGCTTATATGTCAATGAAACATTTTGATAAAGTGAGTACTTTCCTGTAATAAAAGTAATTATTTTAATCTGGTTTGTGAATTAAGTGCTTATGTATATTTTAGTATAATTTCGTAGTCAGTATAATCTACTGAGAACAGTTAACTCTAACAGAAACAGAATTCTGTTCTTGGATCTGGCTTTGTATGTAACACCAAGTACGTCACTTTTCTTCCATATGTACCTCATTTGCTGCAGTGTTTCTGTTACAGTTCAGACTTTCTTATGGTGGGTATATCTGTAGACTGAAAGAACAGTTAGCATGTACACTAATTGCACTTTTGTGGTATAGTCTATTCTCCAGGCTTGCTATTTATTGATTTAATTGATGCCTGCTGCTTAATCAGAGGTTTCACCCACATGGAAGTATTTGATAAGCCTGGCATAAAAGGCAAGATCTGTGAAATATAAACAATGTTCATAGTATAAAGACCTGTAATCAAGCCAGATCTCTAGTCATTTGAAAATAGTGCAGCTACATGAGAAGTAGTTTTCAGTTTGGTCTTTTTTTTGCTATAGACATTTAAAAGTATTGTCTTTACTGTGAAATTTCTACCCTGATGTTTACTATGCTTGTTTATTTACTTTTTTCCCTTTTGTTGCTCATCCTACTCCCACCTTGCTACCATGGTCATCTTATTCTGGTTGGTTATTTCCCTCACTGATGCACTGAATATCTTTATTCTTTCTCTTCCTTATTTTCTTAATTCCAACTGTTTTTTTTTTTTTTTGATTAATCTAACTCAGACCATTCCAAGTGTACTGCTGAAGCAGCTGGAAATAATCTCCTAGCTTTTGCATTCTTTGGGCACCGCAGTTAGGGAAATAAGGATTGTATGCCTTTGTAGGCAAGTTCAGGATATTTTTGAGATCTTGTAGCCAGTCCTTTTCTGTTCTATTTGTGATGATGATAGTTCTTTGAGAGAAATTATAAGGGACTGTTACTGTTTGTTTTGTTGGGCTTTTTGTTTTGTTTGTTTTTTGTTGTTGTGGTGCTTGGGATCATATCCAGAGCCTCATGCATGATGGACAAGCACTCTAACCACTATATCCCAGCCCTGCAAGTTTTAATATATATTTACTTTAAAACCCAGAACGTTGCACATTGGTAAAAAATTTAAACAATTTGTAAACAATCTAAACAGCTGCTATAGTAGAATTATATTCCTTAAAATAGAGCAAAATTTTATTTTAATCTTGAAAAGGGCCATCAAGAACCCCTATGCATCCCAAGTAGTCCTTAGAAGAGACTTTGAATTAGTCAGTGAATTATAGAAAAATAATTGAACTTCTATAAGAACATGCAGTTAAATGTCTCACTCAGTATAAAGAAAAATGAGAACTCATGAATCCTTTTACGTTTTGTTGGGTTGTTTCTACTTACCTTACTTCTATACTTTATTAGTAGGTAAAACTTTCAAACAGGTATAAAGTTACTGTTTGCCAAGCAGTTTCCAGGTAGACATTATTAAAATTAAAAATGCCTAAAGTAACATGTTGAAATGTTCTCTCCCATTAAATAATTAGCTGATCTTTCCCATCTTCAAAACTGTAGACATCATATTTCTCTTGGATTTTCTGACATTTTAGAGGATAAAGTGCCATACTGTATGTTTGTGTGTGATAGTTTTGTATTTATTATTAACCATGTAAATTTAAATGATTATGACAACTTTTTGCTGACTTTGTTGATCTTCTTTAATATGTTTGTAGATAACAATGGAGGTTAAAGTCCAAGACTGAAAATCACTTTGGAAAAATACACAGTATTATAGGCTTATGAAATTAATTAAACATATGATTCAGTGTTACTTATGTCTACTGAATATCGTGTGTTCTAATTTTGGGGGTGGAGTTGCTTCTTTTCTCATTGCTATTTTAATTATGTAGGTAACAGAAAATGACATGAAAGGATTTGAAGGAGAGTTAAGAAAATCATCACTATTTTTTATTTTAAACATAATTTTTTGTTTTTACTTTTCCTTATTTATTGATTTCGTCTTATTGTATCTTTATCCCATTCCCTCAAATATTTCTGTTTATGCATAGCACAGATCCATAGTGCATTCACATGTCTCTATCTTTTGTTACAGTTAATCAGGCAGCAAAGGAAGACACCATGGTTTTGAAGATTGGCTCTGTTGCCATGGCTCCCCAGGCTGACAATCCCCTTGGCAGATCTGTCCTCAGGAAAGATATTTACCAGTAAGTTTGTTTTCTTATGTTCAATCTTGCAACAATTTCATCCTGCAAAGAAGTACAGTGATCAATAAAACTTGCTTAGTGTGGCCTGTAGAAATACTTTTCATTCGGGATCTTTTGATATTTAAAACCAGGATTTTCTGATTTCCTTCAGTTGTGGGTTTTTGAGTTTATTCAGACAAATCAAGTATTTCTGTGACGTGTTGATGAATAACAGAATGTAAGTACCAAGTCACTATAAAACTGAAGAAGCATAGTTTGGAAAATTTTAGCAGACTTCAAATTTGACCAAATCTCTAATCATACAAGAAAATGAGATTTGCTCTAGAACCGCCACATCCTACTGTCGTCTTGTTATATCACAGTGAATCATTTTCTTAATTTAAGTTCAAGTCATTATTTGACATGTAGGACTGTGGATGTCATATGGATCAAAGCTGTAAAGGAAAGCAAACTTTTTAGGAGAAATTTCACAGTAAACACTTTCTGTGAAAATGCTGTGCTCTGGTTTTTGTCACTGAGTATGCAAACCACACCAAGTATATATGGACAACTAAACTGGTGAACATATGTAATCAACATGATAAAAATAATACATGATTCATACTGAAGTTGGCACTGATGCCAGACATAAAAGAGCAGTTGTAAATAATACCAAGTGAGAAAAGTCACAGAAGTACAGATGAACAAGTGTCTTATTCTTCCTGCTGGTCTGTTTTTCAGCTGTCATAGTCTCACTCTTTTGAAAAATAAATTCCTACTGTTCTCCAGTAAATGCTACAGCTACAAAAAAGATTCTAATTTTGGAAGTGCATTTACCACCAAGATGACATGTATTTTAATTTTTTTTTTTAAAGATAGGGTCTCACTGTGTAGCTAAGGTTGGCTTTAAACTAGCTGTATAGCAGTGGCCTCTAACTCTCCCTCTTCCTTCCCGAGTCTACCAGCTGCTAGGATTACAGGTGTGCTCTACCATGCTTGGCTTCTGTTTTTAATTTAAATGGTTCTAGGAATTATATTCAGAAATATAATTCCTAGAACCATTCCTATAATTTGATAAGGGAGTTGATACATTTTTTTCTTTATGAATCTTCATCTCTTGTTTTTGGTGTATAACATCTCTTAAATAAACTTTTATTTAGCAAAGTTTGTATAAAATCTTAAGATGTCAGAGCTGAAGGAAGTTTCAGGAATTACCTAATCCATCTTCCTTACTATTTTACAGATTAGATAACTGAGGATCCAATCAAATAGTTGTCATTAGTCAAATAATGACAGAGTCAACAATACAATTCGTATCGGGCTAGAGATGTATTTCAGTGGGAAGAGTACTTGAGTAGCACCTGTGAGACCCAGGGTTCAACCATTAGCACCGCAATAAAAGAGAAAAAGGAAAGAAAAATATCTTTGCCTTAGAATCTAGGGAAAGGATTACAACAGAGCATAAATTTTCTAACACTTAGAAATTCTTTCAAATGTATTTCTCTTTTACACATCAGAAGTAAGTGGTCTTCCTATGAAGTCAAATGAAGTGAATCACTGAGAATTTTCCTTTCCTGCCCTTCCCTCCACTTTCTACTTTCAAGCTCTTGCATGAAGTGTATTCTTACTTGATTGAACCTTATTTTGTATTCGGTGAGTTTTGTGAGATTGTTTCTTTATTGGTTTTCTTTCTAGCTTTCCCATACTTTTTTTCAGTCTTTTTAAAAAATTTTCTTACTAATGAACTTTAATTTTTTGACCTCTCAGGATAAAGGCATATATATATATAATTGTTTTTACATTAGTTACATGTGTATACATTATTCCCCCCACCCCCGCCACCACTTCTGGGGAGAACCTGTTCTACCTTCTTGTTCTACAGTTTTGTTGAAAACAAAGCATTACAAGATAAAAAGGAAGAACTTAGCATTTTGCTAGTTTGAAATGAAGATAGCTGTACAGGGAGATTCTTTGTGTTTTGTTGTTTCCATACATGTGTGTCTTACAAACCAAAGTGGTTCATCTCTACCAGCCCTCTTTACTACTTTCTAGTCCCCTTACATAGTGACCTCTCCCAGTTTAAGATTACTGTATTTGCTCCTCTACAGTGAGCACATCAAATCAAGTTTTTGGTTTCCTTCCCTTTCCCTATTCCTCCCATGCCTGGTCTCTCCTTAGTGTGTGACCCATATCCAATAATATTACTGCATTTGTTTTAGGTCTATAACCCACATATTAGGGAGAACATGCAATTTTTGGCCCTCTGAGCCTGACTAACTTCGCTTAAGTTGATGTTCACCAGTTCCATCCATTTACTTGCAAATGACAAGATTTCCTTCTTCTTTGTGGCTGAGTAAAATTGCATGTGGATAAATACCACATTTTCTTGATCCATTTGTTAGTAGTGGGGCATCTTGGCTGTTTCTATAACTTGGCTATTGTGAATAGTGCTGCAATAAACATGGGCGTGCAGGTGCCTCTGGAGTGACTTGTGTCGCATTCCTTTGGGTATATCCCCAGGAGTGGGGTTGCTGAATCATATGGCAGCTCTGTGCTTAGTTGTTTAAGAAGCCTCCATACTGTTCTCCAGAGTGGTTAAGCTATACTGGGGTTTATCTTGTGCTTCCTAGGCAGGTGCTCTACCACTTGAGCTTGCCCACAGCCCCTTTTGCTTTAGTTAATTTTCCAATGGACTCTTCCATTTATGCCTGGCCCCAAGTGGATGATGAGTCTCTTATTTATGCTTCACACATAACTAGGATGACAGGTGGTGCCACCACTCCTAGCTTGGTGATTGAGATGAGGTCTTGCTAACTTTTCCTTGGACTGGCCTTAAAATGCAATCCTCCCAACCATTACCTCCTAAGTAATATAATTTCAAGCATAAGCCACTGCATCTGGCTTCATTCTTCTTTACTGGTCTACTTCCTAAACAATCCCTTCAATATTAGTATCCCTCAGGGTTTTTGTTTTATACCTTTTGCCCATTTCTTCTTGGGTGAATCTGTCTACTCTCTTAGCTCAGGAAAAATTTGACTCCAAGGATGTATTATAATTTGGAAGTGACCCAGAAGTCCTAGGTTAACAATATGTGTTCGAATTTTGAACATCATAAACTTTTGGATCCTGGAGCATGCTCAATCTAATAGTTTTCCCTTGAAATCTCACATTCCAGAGTCATTTCTAAAAAACTAGCAAAGTACTCACATAGGTGTTCATCAAAAACATTTAAAGATCTCATTGAAATGCTATTTCATAAACATCAGAGGAGACATAGCAAAATTCACTTAGCAATGAAGTAATCAGTTGTAGGAATAACTGTTAGAATAAAACTGTAAACACAAAGCAAAAAGACCTATTCTCCTAAGACTTCATTTATTAATCTAATGATTAGATTAACTATAATATCTCAGTTGGCCAGTTACAGAAGGCCACTGTTGTATGATTCCATTTATATGACATGTCCAGAATAGATCAGTAGAGACTGGAAGTAAATTTATGGAAAGTAGGGAGTCATGCTAATGAGGATGGCATTCATTTTGGGGTGATGAAAATTGTCTGGAATTAGTGATGGTAGCAAAAACAATCTTGAAGAGGGAGAATAAAGTTGGAAGACTAACACTTCAATTTTAGGACAAAGTAACAGTAATAAAGACAGTGTGGTACAGATAATGTAGATGGATGAATCGAATTGAAAGTTCAGAAATAACACCATCACATTTACTATCAGTTAGGTTTTGATAAAAGTGCAAGGTAAATCGGTGGTGAATAGTAGGCACTTCAATAAATGATGCTTGGACTACTAGATAACCACATGAATTTGGACCCATACCTCATATCATCTATGAAAACTAACTTAAGTCAGAGACCTTAATAATGCTGAACCTTATCAAACAAATAGGGATAAAGTTTTTTTACCTTGGATTAGATAATGATTTCTTAAACATGGCACCAGAGCCAAGGGACAAAGGAAAACTTAAATTGGACTTTATCAAAATTATCAACTTTTATCCTGCTTTTGCACTTTCTCTGACAAAAAAGTGAAAGTGCAAATAGGAGAAAATATCTTCAAATCAGACATATCTAATAAGAGGCTTGTGTCCAGAATATGTAAAGAAATCCTACAGCTGACTTATACAAAGAAAACCAAATTCAAAAATGGGCAAAGAGTCAGGCATAGTGGCTCACATCTATAATCCCAGTTACTTGGGGAGGTATAGATAGGAGGACTGCAGTTTGTGGACAACCCAGGCAAAAAATTAATGAATCCCTATCTCAAGAGCAAGCCAGGTGTGGTGGTGCACATCTGTAATACCAGCTATACAGGAGACAGAGGTAAGTGGATTATGTTCCAAGACCAGCCCCCCAACAGAAGCATGAGACCCTATTTGAAAAATAACTTAAAGAAACAAATGCAAAAAGGACTGGGTATGTGGTTCAAGTATTGCAGCATTTGCAAGCATGAGGCCCTGAATTCAATCCCAGTTCTGACAAAAATAAATAAATAAATAAATATGGGCAAAGAATTTTAATGGATAAATAAGATATGTAAATGACCAGTAAGCACATAATAAGATGTTCAACACTTGTTAGTCATTAGGGAAATGCAAATCAAAACCATGCCCAACAAAATAGTTTCTGCTGGGTATTGAGGGGGTGGGGGGAGAGAGAGGGGGCGGAGTGGGTGGTAAGGGAGGGGGTGGGGGCAGGGGGGAGAAATGACCCAAGCCTTGTATGCACATATGAATAATAATAAAAAAAAATGCCCAATAGAATGCTATAATCAAGAAGACAACAAATGTAGAAAAATTGGAGCTGTAGAGGATGCAGGAGAAGCCCTGTGTTTTTTGTACACTCAGATATTCAATACATCCTCAGCCCAACATCTCTACCAAGTAATTCTTAAGCAGATAGCAACTTGGTATCCCATCATTTTATGCAATTCTGACAGAATCTTTTTGGAGAAGCCATCAGATCCCACAACTTAGGGTTACAAGACAGCCCCTCCCCTCTGCAGATTC